TATCATTGAGACTTTGTCTCGAGAGGTTGTTGTTCCTTACACAATCGTCTGAACCTTCTTGTAATTGTTGCGATGCTCTATTTTCACGCGAAACTAACACTAATCACAAATTTTATTATTTATTTTCAATCAAATTGAAGTTAGGAATAATTTAACCAATTGTTATATAATAGTTCTCGTGGGAATGATATCCAGACTTATTAGTTCATTATATTACTTGTTACTATCTGTACACTTCTGAAATATAAAAATTGACAAAATAACTAAAAATAAAAAGGCAAATAAATGGGTACTTAAAAAAGTAAGCATTCGAGAACCTTCATCAATGGTCAACGTTTAAAAAAGTAAGCAGTACTCACCACTACATATCACACATTCATTTATTTCCTATGTAGTTATAGTCGGACCATGTGGGTTTTAGTTTTACATGTATGGGGTGGAGAGAAAAATGGGTGGGGTGGATATTGAGGAAGACGGAGGTTACGTTTTAATTTTTTTTCTTTTTTTATTTACATACTTATTTTAACTAAAATTTAAGAATTGACTGATTTGTCATTTATAAGGTTAGACTTGTGTAGTGCACACGTTGTTTTAATGTTTACTTGGTGAATTACGTCGGTAAGAACATGTTCTGCTGCATCAATTGAGGACTATGATGTTAAAAATTGAAAGGTAAGGAATCTATTTGTACATTTTGTAAAGGTTAGAGATCTCAATTGCAATTTTCTTTAAGAGTAACGTAAATATAAATGACCATTTAGTGAACTATTAATAACTTTAGTGACCATGTCGATAACAAAATTTACTAATGATAAATGTGAAATTCTGCACATACTTTAATCATCGTTAGTGAAATTAACTAACCCACAATATAATTAAAAAAAAATTAATTGAAAGCCAGTTGATGTTGGTTCTCGTGCCAATTAACATTTATACTGCTCATTTGAGATCGTTAAAAAGTTGATTTTGATAAAAAGGAATGGTGGATCTCGTAAAATGATTGGTGAAAAAGTGGGTAATTATTGTGAGACGTATGTAATATGTAGTTAAAATTAATTTTTTTAATGAATAGTTATTATACTAATAGCAAATTGACGGTCAACCTTTAAATAAGAGCAAGTTGGTCTCATTTTTTTTTAATAATAATTGCATATTCGGTCTCAACTATGTATAATATCTAAAAATTTCTTACATTGTCATATTATCCTCACAAATCCTACTTTAGTGAATTGAGATTTTGCTTCACAACTTAAACTAGAAGATGCACCTCAAACAATTTAGGTATCTTATGAGGAATTCTCAAATGAGCTTTTTCAAGAACAATAATAAAAAGTTAGTAAAGCAAATGATTGGTGATGAAAATTTCAACAGTGATCGTTGTTGATATGACTGATGGTGATTTTGACGAAATTATCACCAACATATCTTAGTGATCAGTAATACACTTTCTGCAAGGTAATCGATGATAATGTCACCAATAATATTTTCATGGATCACCATTTGTCACTAATGCGAAGTTGTCGACATTACAAAATAAATAAATATTATTTCCCTATTTTTTTTATTTAACAAGTTGATGATAAATAAATTAAAAATATTTTTGATTTTTCCTCATAATATTACAGATTGAAAGTTATTTTGTTTCGAAACTTTCTTAGGGAATTAAATTTTCTTATATTATTCTTGTTTTCAAAATTACTAACTAAAAAAATTATCGTAACTTTATTTATTTTTTAATGTTATTAACTACCGATAAAAAATTTCATAAGAAATATGTAAATTTTTAAAACTAATGCTTGCGTGACTCTGTGCTTCGATGTTTGAAAGTCAAAGTAATGTATATTTTCATGAAATTCACGTGATTGTCTAACAAAAATTTGAACAACTTTCATTGTCGAGGACCAATAATACAATACTTATAATGGTTTAAAAACTAAAATGCAACTCGTGTAAAAAAAAAAAAAAAATCTAACCTACTAATGACGGACTTGAGCCAACCCAATAATATAAGTCCAACAATAAAACGTAAATAATAAAAAAATTTCAAAATGAGAAAAAATGATGCCCTCTTCACAATTCAAAATATCACACCATGACATTAATGAATGTTAAATGCAAGCATTAATTAGCATTAAATGCTCACAAAAAGCATATATAAGGGTGATTTAGACAATCATATCCAAAAGTGACATTTTTTTAGCACAATTTGTAAACGTGACTTTCCCCTTCGCCCGGCCCGGTGAGATCNGATTTTGAACAAACCGACATTGTTGTGTTGGGTTGGGTTTGGGTTGGGGCAAAAACCGACCCAACCCGCCCATGCCCACCCCTAGTTCTGCTGCATCAGTTGAGGACTATGATGTCAAAAATTTAAAGGTAAGGAATCTATTTGTACATTTTGTAAAGGTTAAAGATCTCAATTGCAATTTTCTTTAAGATTAACGTAAATATAAATGACCAATTAGTGAAACTATTAATAACTTTAGTGACCATGTCGATAACAAAATTTACTAACGATAAATGTGAAATTCTGCACATACTTTAATCATCGCTGAAATTAACTAACCCACAATATAATTAAAAATAATAATTGAAAGCCAGTTGATGTTGGTTCTCGTGCCAATTAACATTTTATACTGCTCATTTGAGATCGTTAAAAAGTTGATTGTGATAAAAAGGAATGGTGGATCTCGTAAAATGATTGGTGAAAAAGTGGATAATTATTGTGGAACGTATGTAATACGTAGTTAAAATTAATTTTTTTTAATGAATAGTTATTGTACTAATAGCAAATTGACCGTCAACCTTTAAATAAGAGCAAGTTGGTCTCATTTTTTTTAAAATAATAATTGCATATTCGGTCTCAACGATGTATAATATCTAAAAATTTCTTAAATTGTCATATTATCCTCACAAATCCTACTTTAGTGAATTGAGATTTTGCTTCTCAACTTAAACTAGAAGATGCACCTCAAGCAATTTAGGTATCTTATGCGGAATTCTCAAATGAGCTTTTTCAAGACCAATAATAAAAAGTTAGTAAAGCAAATGATTGGTGATGAAAATTTCAACAGTGATCGTTGTTGATATGACTGATGGTGATTTTGACGAAATTATCACCAACATACCTTAGTGATCAGTAATACACTTTCCGCAAGGTAATCGATGATAATGTCACCAATAATATTTTCAGGGATCACCATTTGTCACTAATGGGAAGTTGTCGACATTACAAAATAAATAAATAAATATTATTTCCCTATTTTTTTATTTAACAAGTTGATGATAAATAAATTAAAAATATTTTTGATTTTTCCTCATAATATTACAGATTGAAAGTTATTTTGTTTCGAAACTTTCTTAGGGAATTA